TGCTATATCGACTCGAGTCAGATCCAGGACTGTGTGGGAATTGGAGATAACGTGTACCAGACGGAAGGGAGAACTCGGATAAAGGTGACTCTCGCTGAGTCACTAATGTATATCTTCGATATCTGGGTGTGTGATCTGACCGACCAACAAGCCGTACTCGGCATGGACTTCATGGTTCCAGCTGGGATCCGCCTGGATCTGGCACATGGATCGATCAGTCTGCCGGACGAAGTCCGGATCCAGCTCAGCGGAAGACGACAGCTCTATAGTGACAAAGCGAAGATCGTCAACGTCGGTCAATATCTTCGGATCCAAGCAGGGGAGCCGGTGGAATTACCATTGCGCCTGAGATCGTCGATCCTCGACAAGCTGTGGGGCACGCGTGGGGATCAATGGGTACCGACAATATCCGGTGGACCAGGGCAGACGAAATACATCTCAATCACCAATATTGGGGACGAGGTCTTGATCCTGCATCAAGATCAACGGATCGGGATCTGGCTGACTGGGGAGCATGTGTCGTGGATACCGGGCTTTATCTCGATCGGCTCTCGTCGTTACATGGAGTGGCAGAATCTAGCGCTGGAAGCCACGACTGACACCTGATCCGAGGAAATGGAGGTCGAGGACCCGCCGATGCCTGCGGTGAAGCGATCCGAGTATGAAACTCCGCGCGCAATACTCCAAAGACCGAGGACAACGTTGATCCAGCGCCAGAAAGTCGAGGCGAGTCAGGATCAAGATATTCCTGACTGCTCACCCCCCGACGAGTCGCCGTCGGACAAGTCGCCGTCGGAGATGCGGCCGTTGGATCTAGCGTCTGTCGCGATCGAAGAGTCGGATCTATCGTCTATCACAGACGCAGACTCTATATCGCATACCGTTACGGTCAAGGATGCGCTAGAAGATCGCGATCAAGCGAGACTGGATACATGGGCGACTAATCCGCTGGTAGAGAAAACCACGGACATGGAAGGATTGCGAGAAGAAGATAGCCGAGGTGAAATTGATGACGTCAGCCTGGATCAACCACATCCGATGGCGCGAGATCAAGGAACACCACCGTTGGAACGTGGTGGGGCGGATCTGCCATCAATGATGAGTGTACAGTCTGGGATAGGACATGTGACTGGTGATCCATTGGACGGCAAGTACACCACGTCTATGTCGCAAAAAACGGACATGAATCCATCGCCTGTTGTGGAAGATCAACCAGGCACATCGGACCTGGATCTTACCTGGGACTCAGATCAAGATTATGATGAATGCGTATAGAAGGAAGCGATTTATACGCCGAAGATGTCGATGGTCAGATGGCGGTGCTGCCTGAGGTGCCTGTCACGACGGAGGAAGTGAAGATCGACGATATTCAACTATGTGGATCGGACAGTCAAGCCCCAGAAGAGATCGAGCGACTTCGCCAGAAGATTTGGAAGTTCCGACACCTCTTGATCGGGAAAGGAAATGCCCTCCCGCCGGCCGCCAGAGGCGTGGTGTGCGATATCGACGTCGGAGGAGCGAGACCCATCGCCCTCAAGTGTCGTAAGTTGCGGATCCAGTTCAGAGAAAAGCTGGCAGACCTGATCAAGGATCTATTGTCCGCCAAGATGGTCAATTATTCCATATCACCATGGGCTTCACCCATCGTGGTGATCATTAAAAAGAATGGGGTGGACATCCGGCTATGTATTGATTATCGGCTGGTTAA